CCATCAAGAAAAAAAATATCAACTTTTTTTAATTTAAAAGAAACGAAAGAAATAATAAATAATAATTCTTGACGCATTAATAATTATTTTGTTTACAAATTAAAAAATAAAATTTTAAAATAGACTAATTTGTTACTTAGAATTGTTAACTCTACTTATGTGTTATTTTTTCAGAAGAAGAAAAAGAGAAAAAGTAGCAACCCTGACTGTAATTTATCTATAAATATTCATTGTTATTTTTATTTTTAAAGGGATGTTACAAGTAATAAATAGTTAAAAAAAAAAAAAAAAAGGAAAATTATACATAGGTAGAGTTGGGAGTCTAAAATCACAAAATGGTCTATTTTAAAAGTCTAATTTTCAATTTGACAGATTTAAACAAAATAATTAAAAATACATCAAGAATTATTATTAAAGTCCCAAATACTCTCTTTGTAAGTTGTAAGGAAATATGTCTCTTTAGGTGCTGCTCGTTTTCTTCTTTAATAAAATTGATTAATTATCAATATATATATATATCAAAAAAAAAATTTCCCGAATTATCTTTTCAAATTGATGTCATGTATATTTTTAGTGAGACCAAATTTACAAGATTATAGAATAAAATAAAATAAACGTATTATTTTGCTAAGAACACAACAAGTATTACATAATTCCAACAAAATAATGTAACAAGTACTAATATTTCATTCTCAAGCCAATGGTCATCTTTATTATAAAGTCAAGGAAATAACTGAAAGTAGTATTTCTTGCAACAATAAGTCATATGCCTTACACCATAAAATCTTATTACAATTTTTATGTTTCAAAAAGTGTTTTGTGTTTTTAATTAGACTTTTACACGATATTGGTACGTTTATTGGTAGGTTTATCTTATTTTGCTTTTTAATTTTATTTCATAATTTTGTAAATTTGGTCTTACTACAAATTATATATAACATCACTTTGAAAAGATAATTGGGGAAACTTTCATATATATATATATATTGATAATTAAGCAAAGAAACAAATAACTCAACAACAAAAAAGCAAGTCATATTACAAAGAGGGTATTTGGGACTTTAATAATAATTCTTGATGCATTTATAATTATTTTGTTTAAATCAATCAAATTAAAAAATAGACGTTTAAAATAGATCATTTTGTTATTTAAGACTCTTAACTCTACCTATATGTAGTTTTCTCAAAAAAAAAAAAAAAAAAAAAATTACATTCCAAATGTTTTGATGAAAATGAGATAAAAAGAAAGAGAATAATTTGAAGGAATCTCATCTTGTCATATTTATTTTTGAAAAGTGAACAAAAATGTTGACAGGACTCATTTAGTCTTTCAAAAATGGACAAAGAGAAATAAAAAAGATACAAGGGTTATTATTAATTTTTTTTTGGTGTCTGTTTTTTGAACTAAGATCTTCTGTTGTAAACGGATTGTACTGTACCCATGTTGTAGTGAAAAAAGATATATTTTTTAAATGGGTAACTTTAGAGTCACACCGAAAAAGGAACGATGTTAACAAAAATAAAATAGAACGAAAAAAATAAAAACAAAATATCCTCTTCTACTTCAGCACCTCCCTCCCCTGTCACCGTCCCGCCATCTCCCTCTCTCGTCACGATGTACCTCAAAATAGTATAATTGTACTGGGTTGTTCAGGCATTACCTAAAAAATAAAATAGAAAGAAAAAAAATATTCTCAACACATTTTTTTTTTTTTTGTTTCTCAACACCTTTAATATTTTTCTCAACTTATTTAATTTTGTTCTCAACACTTTTTAATCTTTTTATCAACACCTTTTAATCTTATTCTCAGTACTTTTAATCTTGTTCACAATACTTTTTAATTTTTTTCTCAATACCTTAAATCTTGTCCTCAACAATTTTTAATCTTTTTTCTCAACACATTTATTGTTGTTATCAATACATTTAATCTTATTGTCAATAATTTTTAATCTTGTTATCAACACCTCTAATCTTGTTTTTAACACTTTTTAATCTTGTTCTCAACACCATTTAATCATATTTTCAACACCTTTAATCTCTAACTCAAAACATTTTAATCATATCCTCAATACATTTTAATCTTTATCTCAACACTTTTAATCTTTACCTCAATATCTTTTAATTTTTACCTCACTACCTTTCAACTCTTTTTAATTTTTTTTCTTAACAACTTTAATCTTATTCTCAACACTTTTTAATATTTTTTCTCAATACCTTTTAATCAATACCTCAATACTTTTTAATCTTTATCTCAACACTTTTAATGTTTGCATCAATACATTTTAATCTTTATCTCAATACCCTTCAACACTTTTTAATCTTTTTTCTTAACACTTTTTAATCTTTTTTCTCAATACCTTCAATCTTGTTATCAACACCATTTTTCATTTTTTCTCAACACATTTAATCTTAATATCAATCTCTTTAATCTTATTCTTAACACTTTTTTTATCTTATTCTTAGCACCTTTAATCTTGTTATCAACACTTTTTAATCTTTTTTCTCAACACCTTTAATCTTGTTTTCAATAATTTTTAATCTTTTTTCTCAACAACTTTAATCTTGTTTCTCAACACCATTTAATCTTATTTTCAACACCTTTAATGTATAGCTGAAAACATTTTAATCATTACATCAACACATTTTAATCTTTACCTCAACACTTTTAATCTTTACCTCAATACATTTAATTTTGTTCTCAACACCATTTAATTTTATTCTCAACATCATTTAATCTTGCTATCAACACCTTTAATTTTTTTCTCAATCCCTTAGACACTTTTTTTTTTTTTTTAATCTTTTTTCACAACACCTTTTAATCTTATTCATCTTTAAAGATAACACTTTTTAATCTTTTTTCTCAACACCTTCAATCTTGTTATCAAAACCTTTTTTTTTTTTTTCAACACCTTTAATCTTTTTATTTACTTATTTAATTTTATTCTGAACACTTTTTAGTCTTTTTATCAACACCTTTTAATCTTATTTTCAACACTTTTAATCTTATTCTCAACACTTTTTAATATTTTTCTCAATTCCTTAAATCTTGTCCTCAACAATTTTTAATCTTTTTCTTAACACTTTTAATGTTTTTATCAATACATTTAATCAATACCTTTTAATCTTGTTATCAATACTTTTAATCTTATTTTCAACACTTTTTAATCTTATTCTCAACACCATTTAATCTTATTTTCAACATCTTTAATATCTAGCTTAATACATTTTAATCATTATTTCAATACATTTTAATCTTTATCTTAATACTTTTAATCTTTACCTCAATACCTTTTAATTTTTACTTTAGTACCTTTCAACATTTTTTTTATCTTTTTTTCTCAACACATTTAATCTTATTATCAACACCATTTAATCTTGTTTTCAATACATTTAATCTGTAACTCAACACCTTTTAATCATTACCTCAATACCTTTTAATCTTTATCTCAACGCTTTTAAATCCTGTTCTCAAAACTTTATCTCAACACCTTAAATCTTGTTCTTAAAACTTTTTAATCTTGTTCTCAACACCTTTTAATCTTTATCTCAACACTTTAAATCTTGTTCTTAAAACTTTTTAATCTTTTTCTCAACACCTTTAATCTTATTCTCAACATTTTTTTAATCTTTTTATCAACACCTTAAATCTTGTTTTCAATACTTTTTAATCTTTTTGATTTCAACATCTTAAATCTCGTTCTCAACACTTTTTAATCTTTTTTCTCGACACCTTCAATCTTGTTATCAAAACCTCATTTTTTTTTTTTTTCTTCTTCTTCTCAACATCTTTAATCTTATTCTAAACTTCTTTAATCTTGTTGTCAACATTTTTTTTTTTTTTTTTTTCAACACCTTTAATCTTTTTCTCAATTTATTTAATTTTGTTCTCAACACTTTTTAATTTTTTTATCAATACCTTTTAATTTTTTTTTCAACACTTTTAATCTTGTTCTCAATATTTTTTAATATTTTTCTCAACATCTTAAATCTTATCCTCAACAATTTTTAATCTTTTTCTCAACACATTTAATGTTGTTATCAATACATTTAATCTTGTTCTCAACATCTTTTAATCTTATTATCAACACCTTTAATCTTGTTTTCAACACTTTTTAATATTATTCTCAATATCATTTAATCTTGTTTTTAACACCTTTAATCTCTAATTCAACACCTTTTAATCATTATCTCAATACATTTTAACCTTTATCTCAACAGTTTTGAAAATAAGACTAAAAAGTGTAAAGAATAAGATTAAACGTATTGATAATAATATTAAGGTGTCGAGAAAAAGATTAAAAATTATTGAGAACAAAATTTAAGGTGTTGAGAAAAAGATTGAAAAATGTTAAGAATAAGATTAAAAATGTTGACAATAAGATTAAAATGTGTTGATAAAAAGATTAAAAAGTATTAAGAATAAAATTAAATAAGTTGAGAAAAATATTAAAGGTTCTGAGAGACAGAAAAAAAAAAGTGTTAGAGAATATTTTATTTTACTTTTTATTTTTTATTTTTTTTTCTTTCTATTTTATTTTTTAGCTGATGCCTGAACAATTTAGTACAACTATGCTATTTTGAGGTACACTGTGACGAGGGTGGGAGATGGCGGGATGGTGACGAGGGAGGAAGGCGCTGAAGCAGAAAAGGATATTGTATTTTCCTTTTTTTCTCTTAGTAGAGAGGCGTTGAAGCAGAAAAGAATATTTTATTTTTTTTTTAATTTTATTTTTTTTAATTTTATTTTTTTGTCTGTCAGACTCTAAAATTACCAATTTATAAAAAAATTCATTTTTTCACTACTACGTGGTATAACAAGTCAACTCCAATTTTATTTTTATTACAACATAAAAACAATCTTTTACATTTTTTTCTCTACATTTTATTTTATAAACAAAACATAGAGTCAATGCCATATCTTTCTTTGATATGAAAATTAATAATACCTATGGTTTCTTAATTATTTTCCTGTGAAAATTTAATTGGGAGAGTGGCAAAACCTCCACCACAAACCCTCAGAAAACCGCAAACCTTAGCTCAAGTTTAGAGAATAGAGAGGGAGTGGAATTCACAATGCTCGTCCTACACAGAATGGCTTCGTCATCTCACTTCCTCTTCACTTCCTCTCTTCGTGTCTCAAACCCTACCTCTTCTTTGCCTCTCCACTTTCCCCTCAAAAGCTTCGTCTCCATCTCCAGACCAAACACACAGAGAGAAACCACTATTTTCTCTCTCTACAAGAAGAGAAATGTACTATCAACATCGGCTTCTGCTGTGGCCACCGATTCGACCGATGCAGCTATCCTTACCGAAGACAAGACCTCCGATGAGGTGTCCAAGGACAAAATCGTTCTTCCCACTAACGATTCGTCTGAGAGACTTCTGCGAATACGCCACTCGGTAATATCGATTTCATTATATGTTCTGCTAATCTGTTTGATCACTGAGAAAATTGAGAAAAATAAATGAAATATGTGCATATATTTATTTCTTTTTTCTGCGAATTTTGATGTTCATTTTATATTTTGGGTTGTTTGTTTGAAAAAATTGGTGTATTAACTGTCATGTAAGTCATAGTTGTATTCGTGTCACTTTAGTGAAGGTTGTTGTTTTTTCTTTTGGTGTCCAATTAATTGATTCTGAAAAATCAAAATTCTAGTTTCTCTTACATTTTCAATATCTATCCTAATCCACAATTTGGAGCTATTGAATTTTCAGTAAGTCATGCTTTGTGCATGTTGTGATTTTATTATAATTTCTTTGATTTTAATTTATTATTTTGCTCTCTTTGATGGACAAGAATATGAAGGAAAAGTAAAGAAATTCAAAACCTTGCATATGACCGCCATGCCAACCATATCACTCTTAGAACCTTCCACACAGAAAAACCCCAACCACATATAATTATGATTTATTTTATTATTATTGAGTTGATAGGAAATGCTATATTGGTTATGCTACTTAATTGGAAAGATTTAGTGATTATATCTTCTTTTAGAATTGTCTCTTTTGAAAGTTAACTCAAAGCATTCCGCTCTGAACACATTAACATTGACTCTGATGCTGTCACTTGAGTCACTTTTTTTTTTTTTTACATTTATAAAAAACTGATGTGTTTGTTAGTACAGGATCCCAAGTTCATTGCTACCAGTCATTTACATGCGTAGAGTGTAGAAATACAATCTTGTATTCAGGAACAGACTAATACTGCATATCTTTTTTATGGACTAAACAAATCTTATGCATGGATACAGTGTGCTCATGTGATGGCTATGGCTGTTCAAAAGCTCTTTCCAGATGCAAAAGTTACCATTGGGCCGTGGATAGACAATGGGTTCTATTATGACTTTGACATGGAGCCTTTGACTGACAAAGACCTGAAGATAATTAAGAAGGAGATGGTGAGCAGAATCAGTCTATAATTACTATTAATATCCCTTTTGACAATTTGTAAGTTATTTACTTGGGAAAATATTCATTAGCCTATGGTTTCAGGGTACAGAATTTATTTCTTAAATCATCTGTAGGATCGCATTATTGGCCGAAATTTACCTCTAATTAGAGAAGAAGTTACCAGAGATGAAGCTCAAAGGCGAATAAGGGCTATCAATGAACCTTACAAAATGGAAATATTGGAAAGTATCAAGGAAGATCCTATAACAATCTATCATATTGGTAAGGCTTCTCTCACTATCTGAATTATTTTGTCCTCTAATAGTTTTGAAGTCAGATTTACTTTTCAAAGTTTAACTACTCATAAACTTGTTTTACATACCCATGATTAACTATTTTGTTATTTTTATTTGCATTTCATAGTTAATCTTTTCTTCCAATTCTTCGTTAAACCAACCTTTCAGAGTTCATTAGTCTGGAAAATTCTTACATATTTATAAAATTATGCTTCAGTTCATGGTTTTGGAAAATAAATGGGTTCTATTTAATTTATACTTTTTCACTTTAAATTAGCATTCCAAGTGCTACTTAGTATATTATTTATAAAGTAAGATTTTAGGGCTCACTAAATCTCCAGTGTGTGATGAACGGGCATGCTCTATCATTAAAGCATTGCATGCCAGTTGCTTGCCATAAATTTCCCAGCCTCAAAGGAGAATGAAAAACTGGAGAATATCTGCATCACAGGATAATGAATCATGAACAAAATAATTTCTGGTATAAGGAGGCTGTAGAGGAAATAGAGATATTTGTGCTCTATCAGTCAAATTCTCTTCCTGTCCCAAGTTTGGTAAAAAAAAAATAATAAATAAAAAAGAAGAGAGAAATCAACACTTTCTTCTAGCCATTGAATGATAGAGAGATATTTATCTTTTGTGCATTTTCACACAAGGAGCAAAGTAGCCTCTCATTTTCCTTCTTTCAACTAGTACATTTTTGTATGTCATGTTAGAGATGGTGACAGGGTGGGTTTTGGACAGGTTTCTCTGGACCCTACCTGCTACATTTATTAGCACCAAGACCTTCTCTTTCTCTAGCTTTCGTGGGTTACAAGATCGAATTGCACATCCAGCTTACTCTATCTACAATTTAGCCAGATAAAGGATCAAGGAACAGCATGAACCGGTCCCAAACCTGGGACGGGTTTAAATTCCCGATGCCCTCCCCGGTTAATGTAAGAACTCATGGTCCTTGTTCTGCCCTTTCAGAAAACCACATATCCTGATTTTATTTGATTGTTCACAATCAAATTACTATAATCTTGACTGTGAAACCCTAATTTAGGATTACTGGACTTCAATTAACACAACCTATACAAACAAAATGCAAGTTATGGAGACTGAAAACATAAACTTATGAAAAATGGAATATTAAATTCAAACCTTTCAACAATCATATATAGGGTTTTGATACAACTAAGACAATGTTAACCATCACATTTTCCATCACAATAAATCAACTTGAAATCACGGCCATCGAAAAATATAGTCTTCTTTAGGGGCATGATTTGGCCTATTAGTGCTTGGTTCTTGAGAGACTATGACGTTTGTCGAGTTGCAAAGCATCCATTGTGGTCGCTAATGGGGAGGGCTAGTGGAAGTTGGCCGAGACGTCAGCAAGAAGTCATAGGCGATAAGAGAGAAGATGATGAAGCATTAGAGAGAGAAAGAGAGATGTAGGTTAGAGAAGAGAAAGGCACAGGAGTGACTGAGAGGAGGAGGTGTGACGGGAAGGCTATCGAGCCCAAGAGGCAGAGCGGCTGAGCTGAGTGGTGAATCTGTGTTGGAGATGATAAAACTAAAAACCTAAGTACATACATATCTCTGGGGAAACTTGGGATATTAAAACAATGCAAGGGTAGTGAAGTGATTTCACTATATAATCTTTCTATTAACCCCAAACGCTCCCCTATCCCATTTATAAGCTTCCCATACCTGTTCCATTTGGGGTGGGGCGGAAACCCTGCGGGCCAGGACATTTTGCAATCTCTATGTGATATACAGTTAACGCTCAGGAACCAATTTATTCTTTTTTTAATCTTTTTTAATTACCATGTCATATACCAAAACAGCCAACAGAATACAACCAAGTTCCAAGTGCTAATAACTGAAATTCATGTTACCATCTTTGATAACCACACTTAAAACATGCATCCCTAACCGTCCTACAGTGATTAACACCACCAAGTAGGGTAAAATGAAAAAAGTTTAGAATGGATGAAAGAATAGAGCGGCATAAAAGAAAAGGGAAAAGAATCAAAGATGAAAAAAATATCTATCTATCATAAGCAAGAATCGCTCCATTTTCTACTTAAAGCAGGCTCTGTTAAAGTTATAAGTTTATAACTGGTGCTTGAAGGGATTTTGGCAGAGCCCCCTGCTTGGTATAATACTACAGGTATAGTAGATTCTTTTTCGAGGTCCATTGTACGCCTAGGCTTGTAGAAGTGAATACATATATTGTATGTGGGTAGGTCCAATGTTTTCTTTTGCATAGTTTCAGATATATGAAATGGCATGCAGCGGGATTCAACCTTCTTAGTTATTTGTCATCCTTTCTGCTCCTTATTTTATATAGTTTTCAGGTAATGAATGGTGGGATCTTTGTGCTGGCCCTCATGTTGAATCCACTGGAAATATTAATAGAAAAGCTGTTGAACTCGAATCTGTTGCTGGTGCTTATTGGAGAGGAGACACGAATAAACCAATGCTCCAAAGGATATATGGTACAGCATGGGAGAATGCAGAACAATTGAAAGCTTTCCTTCATTTTAAGGAGGAGGCTAAACGCCGTGATCACCGGCGCCTTGGCCAAGATCTTGATCTGTTTTCAATACAGGTAGCTCTCATTTGAAATTGCAATGAAATTTTGTTGTGCATTTTTTCAGTAAAGATTAACTGGTTAGAGTTTCTATTCATAGTCTCAAATATTTATGTGTGTATATATTATATTTTGGAAGTTAAAGCAAACACACGCACATTATCCACATGTCCCTAGTGGGACTTGAACCTTCAACGTCCCCATTTGGAGAAGAGAAATTATGCCATTGGGCTAGAAGCCCTTTGGTCATAATCTCAAATGTTGTCATTGCTATTCATCTACAAAGATGAATTTACAGAGTGAAACTGAAGCTTGTGAGTGAAAAATCTGCAGGATGAAGCTGGCGGTGGATTAGTGTTCTGGCATCCAAAGGGTGCTATTATAAGGCACATAATAGAGTCAGCCTGGAAAAAAATTCACATGGAACAAGGATATGATCTGCTGTACACTCCACATGTTGCAAGGGCAGATCTTTGGAAGATCAGTGGTCATCTAGACTTTTATAGGGAAAATATGTATGATCAGATGAAGATTGAAGAAGAACTTTATCAGCTTCGACCGATGAATTGCCCTTACCATATTCTGGTCTACAAAAGGAAGATGCACTCTTATCGGGATTTCCCAATTAGGGTTGCAGAGCTGGGGACAGTGTATAGATACGAGTTATCTGGAAGCTTACATGGCCTCTTCCGCGTACGAGGTTTTACGCAGGTACATCTTTCTTTCTTATAATAGTCAGAAACTGTTAGTCTAGACATTTGGATTTTTTCAGTTGATGATTTTGATTTGTTGCATTACTTGCATTACATTTTCAATGGACAATCATTTTTTGGATTTAGACTTCTTTTTTCATATGATCTATTATGGATCCAGGGTGCCTATTGACTAGATCATGGAGAGCATCATACTAACTGCTTACTGCATCAATTGGGGGCATGCTTCTGAGTCAGACCCATAATTTAAAGAACTCCCAGTGCATTTCACATACACAAACAAAAAAGAAGAAAAAATGTTGGCAGAGACCGTGGTTTGGCCTACTTACTAATTGTTTCAATTTCTATCAAATTTGCAGGATGATGCTCACATTTTTTGTTTAGAAGATCAAATCAAGGATGAAATCAAGGGTGTTCTAGATCTCACGGAGGAAATACTACTGCAGTTTGGTTTTAGCAAGTATGAAGTGAACCTTTCAACAAGGCCAGAGAAAGCTGTGGGAGGTGATGATATATGGGAAAAAGCTACATCTGCCCTTAAAGATGCTTTGGAGGATAAGGGGTGGTGCTATCAAATTGATGAAGGCGGTGGTGCCTTTTATGGTCCAAAGATTGATCTCAAGATTGAGGATGCTCTTGGAAGGAAGTGGCAATGCTCAACAATACAGGCAAGTTCTGAACACACAATAAGCTTATATTTTGGTGTGCCATTCTCTCAGCACAAATAAAATTGTCACATCTTTAGACCATATGAGTTTAATCTTTTAGTCAAGAATGCTGCAAGGTTGATACATTGCCTTGTAATATAGTTGATGTGCAGTGTAACTGACAAATAATTTTCTCTTTTAATATTTACAGGTTGATTTTAATTTACCACAACGTTTTGACATTACATACGTTGATGCAAATTCGGAGAGGCAGCGCCCTATAATGATCCATAGAGCAGTTCTTGGATCTCTGGAGCGGTTCTTCGGTGTCCTTATAGAGCACTACGCTGGAGATTTTCCATTATGGCTTTCACCAATCCAAGCTCGAGTTTTACCAGTCACAGACACACAGGTGCATGTAGCTTCCATTGTTTCACAAGTTCAACTTTAGCTCACAGAATTGAGTCTCCACTTGATTTAAGAGAAAATTACAAAGAAGTCCTACTTTTAAAAATATAAGACCATCATGCTTAGAAGAATATGTTAGAGATGCTTTTTCTCAAAGATGGAAAAGTTATTACGAGAAATTGTTAAATTAAAACCATTTAGGAAGTCTAGGCATAGAAGAATATGTTAAAGAGAACATATTTTTCCATAGGGTGAAGGAGTGAGAGGTCGTCCTGAAAAAAAGAAAAGAAAAAAGGAGTTGGAGGTAACGAATTCCTTGAGGAAGATGAAATCGGGGAAAGCTTTAGGAAAAGTGACATAGTCCACGTTGAGGGTAAATACTAGGGGAAGAGGAAGACTAAAGTTAACGTGGGTAGAGTAAGTAAAGAAATATATGATAGCATGTGGATTAAGCTGAGGTTATGGCGTTAAATAGAGCAAAATAGAAATATGGGATTCATTTGGCCGACCCCAAATAATTGGGAAAAGGCTTGGTGGTAGTGGTGGTGGTGGTGGTGATTGTTTTATCAGTCTTTTGAATAGTAATTTCTTATTTCATGGGTCTCCTCATACCTACTGTCGGTATGCTAGTAGACTTCCACGACTTGTTTTTTTTTTTTTTTTTTTTAATTCTTTTTCCCACTTGCTGTCATAATGAAGCTAGGGCTGCAAATGAACCGAGCCGAGCCGAGCTTTGGCTTGCTAGGGCTTGGCTCGTCAACTTCAGAGAGGTGCTCGGGCTCGGCTTGGGCTCGAGCAAGCTTTGCCTAGCCAAGCTCGAGCTCGGGCTCGGCTCGGCTCGTTTACATATATCGTTACTACCGATTCAAGAAATGAGCATGATTTCTTCCATGAAATCTGATCGTCGTCGACAAGAAAGAAATTTATCGAAGCTCCATCTCCAATTAGAAAGAAAAGAAAAGAAACATAACATATTTTCAAGATAAAATCAAAGCTTACAATGTTTTATCATCTCTTTATGCAAAATCAACTCGATCTACACATATGTTGTACTGCTGAACCTTAAGATCTGTTTGGGAGGGAGAGTTCTGTGTCACATTAGGAGGGCTGCTGCAGGCTAGATCTTGCGACATAGCTGTCTGAAGGATCTTGCGACATAGCTGTCTGAAGGAGTCCTGCCGCTGGAGACATCTAGTTTTAGGTTTATTTTCTCTCTTAACAGAACCAACGGTTGAGATGTATTGAAGTCCAGTGGCTAAGATTAAATCTGATTTAGATGTTGGGCTGATGAATTATATAATTTTTGGGCCTTATTAATGAATTGATGGGAGTTGGGCCAAACTTATATTGATTTGGGCTACACTTTTTTAGTATAAAATGATAAATACAATTGGGCCTTAACGAGCTTGTTCACGAGCCTAATGAGCTGAGCTCAATGATGTTCAAGCTCGGCTTGTTTACTAAACGAGCCTAGAAATTGAGCCTGAGTTTGGCTCGTTTACTAAATGAACGAGCCCGAGCCGAACTTTTAACGAGCCGAGCCCGAGCTGTTCATGAGCGGCTCGGTTCATTTGCAGCTCTAAATGAAGCCCTCAACTTCCATAAAACAGCAATAGTGGCCTCTTTTTCCAGCACGATATGTTTTTGTTAAGATAAATGGAGTTTGACATATTCATAATTGCTTATGATTTGTGGTTATAAAGGAAGCACTAAATAACGAATTTCATGCATTTGTTTTTCAGCTCGAATACTGCAAAGAGGTTACCAGCAAGTTGAAAGCTAGTGGTATCCGGGCCGAAGTTTGCAGTGGCGAACGTTTGCCAAAGCTCATTAGAAATGCTGAGAAGCAGAAAATCCCATTGATGGCTGTTGTGGGGCCTAAAGAGGTTGAAACACAAACTGTTACAGTTAGATCTAGGTTTGGTGGGGAGCTAGGGACCATGTCAATTGATGATATTATTAGCAGAATGAAGCACGCTGTTGAAAACAGAACATTAATTTGAAATGCTTGTAATAGGTAGTTGTTGGCGTTCCTGTGAACCAATTTCTTGTATAACTTGAAGATCAAATAGGAAAAAAGACGGCAATAATAAGAGATTATTATTATTTTTTTTCTATATGCTCTGGTCTCTCTAGCTTTTTGTTCATAATTGGACCAGTTATTTAGTCTTTTTCAGGTATAAGAAGGTGTATTGTGCAACAGAGAATAATTACCTACTGTCTATGTGCAAATTGTAAAACTACTTCAGTTATATTGTAAAATTAAAATATAGCTGTGCTTCGAAACTAGATTTTATTCCTTGCAGTATTCCTTGGAAAGACTTGCAAGACGGTAAGCTAAGTTGGTTAATTTTCAGTATGAAACCAAGTGCAACCAACAAGTGTGTGAAGTTCACGTGACCTGACCATACAATCAGCTACTCCATTTGGTTTTGCATACAGCAAAGAAAAGGAAATATAATTTCATCTGAAATTGGATTATTAAAGCAAACAAACCATTAGTTTTGCATTTATAGCACAAAACTAGAGTTGGCTGATTATGAACTAGTAAAAGAAAAGCATAGTAAACCTTGATAAACTGGTATCTTCTTCTTGTTCATCATTACATGGGTAGGTGTAGGTGTTTATGCTGGATCCTGAAATAACAGATATGGAGCTCTTCGCACTGCTGAATTTTTTACCATTGCCTCATTGATGAAAAGGGAGAATCTTGCTCGGTGAGTGATTACTTTAACCCTTTCATTAATCCCAGTTTCAATATTTCTGAAGGTTTTGGTTCGGGGGTCATAAGCAACGACATCAGTATTATTCCTTACCATCAAGATTTCCTGACCTCTAATATCTTCCCTCTTACCCAAGTTTACACAAAATTTCAGGAATTCTAATGGTTGAAGAGGTACACCGGAGGAGGCTAATGCAGATGGATATTGGATAACAAACTCTTTAACCCAAACCTCCACCATGCTTCCATCAATAATATTCTCCTCCATCTTTCTCATCCATATGTCAAAGTGGGTTTCAGAAGAATGATCATATATGGCGAGACACCCTCCCAACGCCCCTAGCTTTATCTGAGCACGCCGTGCCCTGTGTTGCGGGCCAAAATGTGCTGGGGGTTGTATTAGTTGCCATGTCTCCTCCTCAACAAGAAGTGAACATATCAAATATGGTATATTGTCCACAGTGTCAGCAACCAGCCAATGTATGGCTCCTCCAACAAAAACCCCAAAACATGGTGCCCAAAGTTTGCATGGCAAGGGTGGTTGCATAAGCCTCCATGAACTTGTCCCGAGGGTGTAGATTGCAGACCTAAAAGCATGGGGGTCGCGGGACAAATACCAGAAATGGATGAGCTTGTACTGGTTTGAGATGGGACTAAAGCCAAACCCACACAAAAAATGAGCAGATGAACCCAATTCTTGGAAATTACGGAAATTTGGAATGGTTAACCACTCCCCGGTCAGTGGGTTACATATGTAGTAAGGGTCAGCAATTGATGCTTGGAATGTACAAAGCAAGCCGTTACATGAATGTGCATAAGTTAAATTGGGTCTAGGGAGGATAGAGTTTAGCTTGGTATTCACAGCAGCAGCACACTGCTCATCAATCTCAACCAAGTATAACTCGGGTTGTGTGCAAATTTATAGTCTGTTAGTAGTTTATAGTAGAATTTACTCACACACCTCCAACTCAAGATCGCCTTGGACGGTAGCACGGAAACAATATCTGTTATGAGAGATTCTGGCAATTCTGGCATCGACTCACATAGCTCCTGATTTTGATCTTCTCTTGATATCTCTTGATCTTTATATTCTGGTTTTTTGTATTTTCTTGTAGCCATGACGGTTGTTTCGTAAACGGTTGTGGAACGAAAACTAATCAAAGAGGATGAATAAAATTCTTTGCACTTGATTGTGCGTGCTTATATATAGAGAATAAAATGTAATGCCTGTGTCTCCCTCCCATTCTTCAACTGATTAGGTTGGCTTGTATACTTTTTAATAATAAGAGTTATATTTTGTTTAGAAAAGGTTTTTGTTAAGAAAAGAAAATAAAAAAAAGCCAAGTTATGTTGGGCTTAGGAAAGCTTTTGTTACGAAAATTTGGGTGAAAAGTAACTACTATAATGAATACTCTCTCCATGGTTGGATTTTAATTTGGATAAATTACAATGACCTCTCCTCATGTTTAATATAATTACAATTAAATTTGAAGTTTGACATTTTTTTACAACATGTCCCCTGAGTTTGCCCATTTTTGCAAAGACGTCCCCTCCGTACAAAAAAAAAAACAATACTTTTTGTCAAAAAATTAGTTTGAAGTGACCAAAATACCTTTCAATGAAGTAAAAAGACCTTATTACTCTTATTATGTCGTTGTAACACCCCCACATTTCCCACGCATAAGTTGATCAGGCTTATACACGAAAAACGAGGGATATCAAAAACAATTGGCAATATACAAGCATGGAATACAAAATGATGGAAATAAAAGAATTTAGACAGGAAAGAAACATTAAATAATACAACATCCATCCATCCTTTATTTAATACAGTACTTCATTACAACTTGGAAATCCTACGTCAGGGATCCCTAAATATAACCCTGAGAGTTCAACGTCAAAAGTAAATAAAAACTGAAACTGAAATACTACATAAAACTTCTACCCTGCACTGGATCGTAGGAGTAGATGAGTTCGGATGATGGTCCCACACTGCTAACCTCAGCCTTGAAACGGATACTGACCGTATCCTGAAATAACAACAATGGTGGGTCAACCCCACGAGCAAGTCCTCTCTACTATGACCCAAATCAGAGAATCAAATAAATTAATCATTATGAATCGGATGAGTACTATATCTGTATACATCCTATGGGAACTATCCAATGTATAACATGACCTCAACCAGAATAGACGGTGATCACTTAGACTCACACTAGGTGGTCAAGTGTCGCCTTTCCCTACCCGGGAAATCAGCTATTATACATGGTGCACGGTACTGACAACACAGACTATAACGAACTACACAGTGATAACACCTCGCAAAGTACTGATGAATATACTAAGCATATAAATTAGGCAACACATGCCAACAATATTAAGAAATATACCGAGTATGTCAATTAGGCAACACATGCCAATAATATTAAACCACATACCCCGACAGCCACACATCTGTCTATCGCAACGAATGCATAAGGTATAAATGAGTCTAAACTTATTAGTCAGCTCACATGGTTCTATATGGCAACACATCCATATAATATAAATGCGACATAATAAACAGTCCATTTATTCCCTGAAATGCACACAGCATAATAATCATGGTTTATATATCAATTAACAGTATAAACATCCTATAAGATATCATGGATAATTTATCTGACTAAAACCATGGCCTTATTTCATTTAACAGTAATGTTTGATACCATTAAATACGATAATAACACTATTTATATTTAACAATGTCGTTAAATAAATCACATTAGTATCCGTACTGCGAACGAGCCAATAAATACTTAGAAAAGATTAATCGGCCATAAAAATAAGTAACAGGTGTTAAAATAATAATTTCGTGGCCCGTTAAACCCGTAATTACCAACACAGTACCTAAAAATCCAAGTTTAAGGTTCTGGAATTTACAAAACAGGCCCTAGGGGTATTCTGGTAATTTCCAGCAGCTGTAGGGACCCCACACGCGCCCTCACGCGCCTCCCAGAGCCTCCCCACGCGCAGCCAAGCTTTCCCCACTCTCCCACGCGCCTCCACGCGCGTCTGGCATCAGCCACGCGCCCGCACGCGCGTCTGGAGAGTCCCACGCGCGCGCACGCGCTGCCACGCGCGCACTAAGGGTGCCTTGCTGACGCGGCGTCCTCCGGTTGGTTGGCTGCATCAGCTTTCCTGCATGCGCGCCACACCGGATCAATCCACCTGCATCTCCTCCATCCAACGTTCCCTGATCCGGGTGTACCGCGGTATCATGGACCGCGATGCACCGGATCAATCAGACTCCATTAATGGCCAGGATGCGCGCGTACACCCTCCTATGGTGCGCCGCGTCGCACCGGATCACTCCGGTCGTCTCCCCCACTGCCGGCGACCGGAAAACTCGCCGGAAGGTCGCCGGAAATTGCAGAAAATGCTCGGAAAAATCTAGAAAATTCTAGAAAAATCCCTAAAGTCTTATTTAATTATTTTTAGCCATTATTAATTTCATAGGACATTAGATAAATATATACCATCCTATATAATTAAAATTCCATTAATTTAATAAAATAAAATAAATTATTTATTAACCTCCTAACCTTGGCTCTATGCATAAAAATAAGCTAAACAATTAATTTATTAATTCAAAGGGGAAAAGTAGATAATAACTTGCCTTTTTGGATTTAAAATAAATCCGCCGGTCTGCGCGTAGTCGGGTAAAATTGCCTACACCGGTCCAAGCTTCTTTCTCTTTCTCTTTTCCTTTCACTCTTATAAAATAGCTCTCTAGAATTTATATTTTGCTTCTAACTCCCTTTTATTTTCTTCTAAGGCAAGCTAGTTAATTTATATACAAAATATATAATATAAATATTACAAATATCTTATTTATAATAACTTCTCACCCATTTCTCATACTCCTACCTATATGGCTTTAAGACAATGCTATCTTTAATCAAGATATTTGATCCACCATTCTACCATAGTAAATGAAATTCTATCCTAGTATTTAATTTTTCATCATTACCTTGATTTAATACTAATATTATTATTACTAATATTATTATTAATAAAACTTTTATAATTATTATTATTATATTATTATTATTATTATTATTAAATTAATATAATTATTATTATTACAAAATAATACATCATATCATCATAATACTATATAACACAAATAATACTTTAATTAACTAATATTGATTAATATAAGCATAACCAACAAATAAAAGTATTAATAATAATACATGCATAATTAAATGAATAAATTTACTATTTTAACATACACAATTAATTTACATGCACAATTAAATGAACTTAATATAATAATGTAGTATGCACAAATAAATAAAATTAATTAACCTAACACAAGATTAATTTAAATACATTCTTTAAAATTACGGGGTATTACAGTCGTAGTATTAATTTTTTGGGTAAAGTACAACCACACCTCATGAGGTTTGGCAAAAAGACACTCGGATTAAATTTACTTATTTTTTTGGATAAAGACACCACTGAAGGTTCAAAAATGGACAAAGACACCCCTTTACATGAGAAATTGACCAAATTACCCTTTGACCATCTAGGAGACTTTTTTAACTTTACAATTTAATAAATTGGACCAATCTACCCTCATGGACAATTTATGCATAAAAAAAAAAAAGTAACCAAAAAAAAAAAACTTTATATTGTTCACTTTTTTTTTTTTTTTTTTGTTATTTACTTTATAAATGTTCCAACTTCTTAAAAATGTAGACGTCTAAAATGATTTTTTGATCCAATACATATATTTCAAATAAATTATATTTTGTTATTACTTCTTTTTTTTAAAAAAAAAAAATTAAGATGCTTAATTCTTTCATCTAAAAAAATTAAACTAATCTCTTTTCCTTAAAAATAAAAAATATGGTACCAGTATAAATTTATACATCTTAAATTATATATAAAATATTATGCATTTTCCAACATAAAAGGGAAAAAAAATAATAATAAAACAAAGGGCAAAAAATAATAATAAAACAAAGGAAAAAAAAAAAAAAAAAACAAAGGCATGCATAAAGTTATACTGGTACCTATTTTCTTTTATGTTGGGAAATGTATAATATTTGATATATAATTTAAGATGCATAAAATTATACTGGTATTATATTTTTTATTTTTAAGGAAAAGAGATTGGTTTAATTTTTTTAGATGCAAGAATTAAGCATCTTAATTTAAAAATAAAAAAGAAAAGAAAAGAAATAATAACAAACTATAATTTATTTGAAATATATGTATTGAATCAAAAAGTCATTTTAAACGTCTACATTTTTAAGAAATTAGGACATTTATAAAGTAAATAATAATAAAAAAAAGGGTGAACAATATAAAAATTTTTTTTAACATTTTTTTATGCATAAATTATTTATAAGGGTAGATTGGTCCAATTTATTAAATTGTAAAGTTAAAAAAGTCTTCTAAACGGTCAAAGGGTAATTTGGTCAATTTTTCATGTAAATAGGTGTCCTTTTGAACCTTCAAGGGAAAAACAAGTAAATTTTCTCTGAGTGTCCTTTTGCCAAATCTCATGGGTGTGATTGTACTTTATCCTAATTTTTTAAAAAAAATTATTTTAAGTAACAAATTTGCCCTTTTCTCTCTCCACTCACTTACCACCACCACGAACACCAACTGCAATTTCCAAACAAATCCAAGAATTGAGAGCTTCGTGACCTATTCGCAAGCTTCAGTGCGTGTTTTAAAAAACACAATGAGCTTCATATTTTTTTTTGGGACGAAGAAAGTATATAGATATATATATAAAAGACAACGGAATAAAAAAGTTATAAGCCAATAATTTTTTTTTTTTTGAAGAAAAATAGTTTCTTTCATACAAGAAAAGGGAGGTTTTATTATTATTTTTTTTTCTCTTAATCATTCACAATATGAATTTAAGGGGAGGAAAAAATCAATTACAAAGGAAAGAATGAAGAATATTTATGTTTGTGTATATATATATATATTTTACACGCACTAGTGGAGAGAGATGAAAGAATTTTAAAGGGTAATTTTGTCTTGAAAATTTATGTTTTAAAGTTCCATAAATGTAAGAAAGAAGTATTAATTATATCTTTCATGATTGGTATTTCAATCAATAAAAAAAATGTGACTGTGAATGGACAATTGCATAGTGCCCCTAACACTCCTCTTTATACATCATTCTTTTATACCAATATAATAATCCATTCAATAAGATTATTTCCTCAAATTTTATTATCTTTTGTCCATTAATATAATCATATACGTATGTCTTACATCTGTTATGTAAATCAAACTTCTCATTTATCTAATCCTCTGTTTTCTTGATTTTAATGTAAAAATTATATTTATTATTATTCACCATGTTAATAAGGATTTACTTTATGGTCATGTCAATGTATGATCAATTTTAAATGTAATCAATTGTGGAATGTTATCATAAAAAAAATACAAAATAAATCAATTGTGGTATTTTTTTTTATTTTTGTGGAAATTACCTAGACTAGAATTACTCTGCAACATAAAATGTTTTTGCTGTGTAATTTCAAAACGATCCATATATATTAGTTAATTTGATAATAATAATGTAATAATAATAAATTAAAAAAAACAACTGAAATGGTGTTTGGAGGCTTTCCGGCTCTTATAATGCATTAACTATCTTGAAAAAATACAGTTGTAGCAGCTTCTGCTAATACATACAAAGACAAAGCGCTTGTTTTAACAGGACTAGTCTACCACAAAAACTTCTACTCCGTGTGCTTTCATGTTAACCACCATTGATTGCCTATTGCCATGCTTCTTTATATAATTAGCAGCCATGACAGAAGTCTGGTTTTATGAGTTATAGCTTTGTTTGTAGCTCTTCAATTGCTCTGCTGTTGTCCAAGGGTGTGCCCTTTAAGTTCATACATGTTTCGAATTATACACACTTGCTCACCATATAAAATAAAAAAAATCACATCCTATCAGGTGGATTGAATAGAAAAGAAATTAATCTTAAAATATTACACCAATTCATGTAATGCCACTAAAATTTCATAAATAACATTGAACAACTAGACTTAAAGCCCATTGACAAAGCCCCAAAAGTAAAACAGCAGATCAATGTCAATAACTATAAAAGCACTAGCTAAAACTGGTTTAAACGTGTGACACTAGTTCATCTTCTCCGTGCCGGGAAGTGAAACAAGACTCCCCGCATGAGTGACCAATGTGCTAGCCCAGTATCAAAGCTAAGCTTCCTCAATGCCATGGTTTGGGGATTATAAGACATCAAAACATGATCCATATTATTATTATTATCCAACATCAAAAGTTCCCCATTTTTTTGAAAGCATAGAATCTTAACGTCGTTGGTGTCCTTGGATCTTTTACGGGACCTATAGGTGTCATCAGAATTACGGATTATCCGAGCAACCTGAAATAAATTGATGGAGAAAAGTTTAGTCCAAGACTCCTCAACCCCATAATCCGGTGATGGGATTAAATATATAGTAAATTTTTATTTGGTCCTGGCAACGGAACAAACAGAGACCATTCCAAGAACCCACTTAGTGCTACATATGATGGGCCCAAGTGTGGAAATCTAACCTTTGTACAAGTGTAATCGTTGGTACCGTTGCTGTGTTCCAGGTAGTAGAATTTATCACCGATCGAGTGAGGTGGCTTTGAATGAATTGAGGGTCTCGTGCTAAGTTGCGCCAGCGTTTGCATACACAATTGCATCGCATCAGGGATCTAATGGGCAGTCTTGTGAGTATCTCCGTCACCATGTTGGTGTCTCCGATCACACTATCCATCTCTCGCTCTTGTGTCTCTTTCTACTAATCTGCCCTTATTTTCTTTCGAGCGTTTATGCAGAAAGCTATACATTTATAGGGTTTCATTGCGAACGAAAACCCTATTTTGTGTGGTGTGGGGCTGGGCTGGGTTGGGCTGGGATTTTTTCTTATATCATTATTTTTAATCTAGATATTCTTATGGATCAACTCGTACGGTTTTTTGGTATTTAGATGGTAAAAGTATTGGCTACTTCGGGTACCAGTTGTTGCCTAGTACTCTTAACAATGAAAAAATAAATAAAAAATTCAATTATAAACTGTTTCAAGATTAATAATCGAAGATTCTTGTAGTACAATCCAAGTATAATAAAAATCGAATAAGATTTTGTTATCTTTTTTAGATTTTAAACATCGAAAAGAAAAGCAGACAAGTCACCAAGTTTGCATCGCGTAGCATGTTTAATAGAATGGACCATGTTGCATTTGCAAGGCGACCATAGCATTACCGTATCCATTATAACACACACACATGTTTAGTAAAATAGACAACCATGTTGCATTTGCAAGGCGACCATAGCATAACCGTATCCATAACACACACACAGACACACACACACACACCATCTTTTGTTTTCTTTGTGCCATGTAAAAATTATATTTATTACTCTCTCCGTCTCAAATTATATGTTTACATTTTCATTTTTAGCAGTCTCAAAATAAATATGCCATTTGAAAAGTCAAAATACTATTTTTTGTAATATTAAAAATTTAAGAGATTGCTTGGTTTGTAACTCTGAAAATAATTCTGAAGAATTCAAAGGACAGAAAACATTTTTTAGAGAATAATAAAAAAACCGTTCTCTAAAAATAGACCATTTTATAATTGAGTTTTCAGAAAACATTTTTCAAAAATTGAACCAAGCAGAATTTTTTGTACAATTTCCTATTTTCAGTTTTTTGAGAAAAGAAAACTGTTTACAAAGTTACAAACCAAGTAAGGTTTAACCTTTTTGAAATTATAAAGTAATCATCACATCCTCAAACCCATTATGGATATATTTGGTAATTCATTCACTACCAAATAGGGCTGCAACTTGGGCGGGTTTGACTGGTTTGAGGTATAACTTGAGCCCAACCCACCATATGAAATGTTAAACCCAAATTCAACTCTAACCCTATTATCAACCTTAACTACTCAACCCAAGCCCAACCCATCATTCTACTTTTAAATTCGGGCTTACAACTAAGGATTATATTTCGAGTAAAAACTTCGGGTTAATTGGGGTTACTCATATGGCTAATCCTTACTCCGAAAATTTAATATGATCTTGAATTAGTTTTAGATTAAATTACTTTTAAATAAAAAAAAATTTAAAGACTTTTTGTAGATTTTTAATAAATTATAAACAAATTTTTAGAAAATTAATTCTCCTAAATGTTAACATACAATAAATTAAGATTTAACAAAAGAAATTAAAAAGAAAAAAAAGTAATCATAGTTTAAATATTATATATAATGTATTTAAAAGTAAAATATATATATGAAAATAATATTATAATTCAGTTTCGGCTTGGCTCAGGTTGCTAGCACTTCAACCCAGGCCAAACCCTACCCTAATTAAATTCGGGTTGAAAATTTTCAACTCAAGCCCAATAAAAAATGATTGTCCAAACCCGTAAAAAATTGGTCTCGGCTCGGGTTGGGTTCGGTATACCCAACCCAAGTTGCACCTCTACTACCAATGGGTCCAATACAATTAAAAAAAAAATATTAAGTTGAATTCCTAAAAATGAACATTTAATTTGAGATGAAGGGAGTATTATTCACCTTGTTGTAAGGATTTACGTTATGGTAATGTATGAATTTTAAATGTATTCAAAGGTGTAATGTTGTGAAATAATGTAAAAGCTTTACTGAATAATGTAAAATTTCTACTTAAGCAAAGTAAGCATGTTCGTGTAAAACTTAAGTGCATTGAATGTTTTACTTTATTTAAATGTGAGTTTTACATTGTTAAGCAAGAGTTTTACATTCTTAAGTGAAAGATTTACATTACATTAGTGCAGTAAAGGGTAAATCGGTCTCCATGTATAATTACTTCTGCTTAAATTACTTTTTGATGGAATTATTTTTGAGTGTTTACATTTTAGTAATTAAGGCTTCCTAAGATGCTTTTTTTTTATTAAATTTACCCAAATTTATTTATAATTTTAAATTGAGACCCTAATTATATTTTTAATAAACTAACATACAATAATAAATTTAATCATTAATAAATGAATATCCATACCATATATAATATGTGACAAGAGAAAAACAAAAATAAAAAATTAAGAAAAATACAATTTTAACCAAATGTGCAAAAAAATTATGAAACATATCTACAATGAACACAATTGAAAAAAAAAAAAAGTGTAAAAATTATTGAAACACTTACTCTTACTTTTTTCTATTTATTAAAACCAATGTTCACGAATGAGTAATATTTTATAATATAATCCAAGAAAATGATATTTATTGCATTTTAATGATTTTCATTGAATATTTTGAAAACATATAACACGTGTAGTAATTTATTTATGAATTTTAAATCGCAATCTAATTCTTTTTACAAAATTAATGAATAGAACTAAACTTAATAATGAGATAAATGAGATTCATATCATATATAATATGTGAAAATTTAAAAATAAAATAAAATAAATATATGTGATAATATTTTTTGCAATAAAATAAATGTGTTTATACTTTATTTTTAACACACCACTAAAACATACTTTAGGGTCAAGTGTAGAAAACACCCATAAAGTATCCTTACAGTGCATATCACATCCCTCATGTGCAAAAAAACACCCTAAAGTTTCAATTTGGTGCAAATAGGTCCCTTTGACAAATTTAAACCCTAAGTTGACTAAGTTACCTTTACTAAACTATTTTATAAAATATATAAAAATAAATAATTTTGTAAAATGACAAAAAAATAAAAATAAAAATAAAAAATAAAAAATTATTGGAGGATGCTCCTGACATGCAAAAAAACACCCCATTATTATTGTTGATAATGAAAGATTATTCGGAGTTGGCACATGATTTTTTTACTCTTTAATCTGAATGGTTTTCCACGTGTATCCTGGTGTTCATTGTGATATTGATTTTATTAATTGTTTGTTATCTCTGCTCTATATTTGTCAATCTTAGATGTTTCCACGGTGAAGGAAAAGTTCCAGTTTTGGATATTCAGTATTTGACTTGGAGTAATGCTTGATCCTGCCTTATCAAGACAAGAATTGTCTTCCAAGCTGACTTGGCACAAAAAATCCTTTTGGACACCTGCGCTTGTTGCGCAGACAAAGATCTGGTCGTGTGTGGAACACGGGCTTCGGATGTCTGAAAAGGGTTGGATTTAAATCCATACTCTCCTTTGACTTCGTCATGTTGCTGACTTAGAAATTTTAATTCCAAGTCACGTTGCTAGACTTGGAGATTTTAATTTGAAGTATTGTAACTTTGGTGGAGATCTATTTCTATACGTTTCCCACAGACGGCGCCAAAGTGTAGGTGCAAAATTTCGCTCAACCAATAATGATTAAGAAAAATAAAACAACTCACTCAATCAATAATAAAAATAAACAAGAACAATATATGTCGAAGCGTAGAATTGCTTGATCCCTTTATTGGAGGTCTATGCCTCTATTTATATACAAAAATTGGTAGAATTAAGGTAGGACTCGCGTTACTTGTCCTCCAATTCTTCCCATACATGACTTTTTTTACGAATAGAGTTTTTTCTATTGTATAATATTTCCTACGCAGAACTTGCCTTGTATAGAACTTCCTATCAAAGAATTCTCCTTTTATGGTAAATCCTTCTAACGATAGGACTTGTTCAATCTTGGAAAACTGGGCTGAATATACCTTGAACCAGCTGGGCTTGAATAACGGGCCGGATGTTTAATATTGACATATTGCCCGTAATTAATTAAATAGTTCAGTGTATTTAAATTCAATTATGTGTGGATTCCTGTACCTATTATTGTGCATGCTTCATTGTTATATTAAGTTCATTTAATGGTGCATGTAAATTAAATGTGTATGTTGAAATAGTAAATTTATTCATTTAATTGTTTATTTGTTAATTATGTTTAATTAAGCAATATTAGTTAATTAGAATATTATATTTGTGTTATAAAGTATTATGATGATATAATATATTATTTTGTAAAAACAATAATAATAATTATATTAGTTTAATAATAATAATAATAATAATAATATAATAATAATAATTATAAAAGTTTATTAATAATAATATTAGTAATAAATAATAATAATAGTTATAATAATAATAGTATTAAACCATTGTCATGATGAAATTAGAGATTAGGATAGGATTGCATCAATGGTTATGGTTGGAATTGAAGCCATATGGTTGGGAGGATGGTTAGTTGATGAAAAAATAAGATATTTGTAATATTTATATTATATATTTTGTATATAAATTAACTAGCTTGCCTTAGAAAAAAATAAAGGGAGTTAGAAGCAAAGTATAAATTCTAGAGAGCTATTTTATAAGAGTGAAAGGAAAAGAGAAAGAGAAAGAAGCTTGGACCGGTGTAGGCAATTTTACCCGACTACGCGCAGACCGGCGGATTTATTTTAAATCCAAAAAGGCAAGTTATTATCTACTTTTCCCCTTTGAATTAATAAATTAATTGTTTAGCTTATTTTTATGCATAGAGCCAAGGTTTGGAGGTTAATAAATTATTAATTTTATTTTATTAAATTAATGGAATTTTAATTATATAGGATGGTATATATTTATTTAATGTCCTATGAAATTAATAATGGCTAAAAATAATTAAATAAGACTTTAGGGATTTTTCTAGAATTTTCTAGATTTTTTCGGGCATTTTCTGCAATTTCCGACGACCTTCCGGCGAGTTTTCCGGTCGCCGGCAGTGGGGGAGACGACCGGAGTGATCCGGTGCGACGCGGCACACCATAGGAGGGTGTACGCGCGCATCCTGGCCATTAGTGGAGTCTGATTGATCCGGTGCATCGCGGTCCATGATACCGCGGTACACCCGGATCTGTGGGCGTTGGATGGAGGGAAGATAGGGTGAGATGATCC